CCCCAAAACCCCAAAACCCCATGATTAAATGTAAAATAAAAATATAGGAATTTATTAAATTTTAATTTTATTTGGATGAAACTTTTCAATTTAAAAACTGAATGTAAATCAATAAAGTCATATATAAATATACATTTTAATTCTAAATAAATCTTATGACTACCAGAAAAAAGAGCATAGAAATGGCTAATATGAATCTGAGTGATAATTAATCTGAAGTACTTCTTATATCTGATTTAACAACTCCTAGATAATGTCAAATCACGTTTGGCTACATCCTACCGATAAAAACCTGTTAAACAGCAGAGCTGATGATTACTTTAGAGATGTTTCTTATTATCTTGACTTACAAAGTAATGATTAACGCTTTCTTAATATTCACTTCATTGTCTTTAGCATATACTTAATTTATTTAGATCTATACAAAATTGTTGATACTTGTTATTACAATGAGCAAATTGAATATGTACCAGTTCTTGTGTAGATAATGCAAGAGAAAATAAAATAATCATTTGGAGGGGCAGAGTATTTGTTATAGGTCTGGCACTAATAGACTAAAAGGCAAGTTTTTCAGACATCATTAAATTGTAAATTTTTATCCATCATATTTTTAGCTAAACTTAAAAGTTGGAACATGACCTATGACTATCTATTATATATTTAGGAAGGATCAATTGATTTAATGAAAATAGTAAATTTTTAAAGAAAGGCTCCTGCCAACGCTATTACATTAATAAGAGGTATCCCTGATTTGCATAAAAGTAAGATCTTTATTCAAAAGTGTAACTGTTAACATTAGTCACCCACTATCAGTTATATGAAGAATATCTTGTTTGTGCTTATAATGATATGAGCCTTATTATCATCAAAATAAATAGTAATCAACTAACTGAATACTAAGAGGAAATCAATGTTTAGGAATTACCCCAGTTAAAATATCAATGCAGACTTCCTATTTAAGCCTTGATTTAAATGTAAATCAAGTAGCTTGAAAATGAAAAAATTCTAAGTTCTTAATTAATAATAGCTTTTGAGACAAGTGAAAATCTTTTAGATTTCAACTATATTAACATTTAATAAGACGAAGAAATAAATAGCCTCTAAATTAGATTTAAGCAAGCTAGAGATCTATTTCCAAGACAAGATGAACATAACTCTGATCCAATACTTCAATGTATTGTTAGAGTGATGCTGAAAATCTATAATAACCAAAAAGAGTATATAATCTATAGTGTAACTCGAAGAAAATCAGGAAGTGTCGATCTATATAGTAATATGATGTTCAAACAGTAAGTGACAAACTGTAAATTTGCTCTTATTTCTTAATTGAAGTTTTATAGTACTTTTCTAAGATGTAGCAATGAGTGATCATACATTTTATTTTCAAACAATAAATGGGAAATACTTTAGTTTGAAGCACTCTGACTCAGTACTATCCTTTGAATAAGCAGTAGAGATCTAGGAAAATGATAAATTTAAGATGAGTGTCATCCCTATAAAGATTGTTGAGAGATATGCTAAGCTCTATTAGTCTTTCCACATGATAATGGTTGGGAGCTAAACAACTTGTTTAATTGCTCATTAAAACTTTATTTCAGCTTTTGACCTTATTGCCTGGAAATGGGTTAACCATATATAATTTGATTCAAAAATCATCCAACTATTCTTTTAAAAGGTGTTTGACCCTAACTAATAGGATGTCTACATTTACAAATCTTGCGTTTTGTTAGAAAGTAAAAAGATATACATGGATATTTCAAGATTTTTTGATAGAGAGGATATTGTAACTTAAGTTGAAGAATTAACTTTTGATTTACCATTTTAGTATCATAAGTCTATTGAAGTCAGTGACACTACAGATTAAAGTGATGCCTATTTTCTTCTTCATGATGGAAAAAGTGTCGTTGTAATTCTACACGAGATGCAAATGATAAAATATGAATTTCCTCAAAGAGATAAGAAAAATTAGCTTGAATTAGTATAGCTTTAAATGTCTAAGTAAGAAAGAAATCAAGGCTATAAAATAGTAGTCTCAATCAACCATTAATTCTCAGTACATCTTTTGTTAAAAAGAGATAAAACATATATCACTAAAGAATTTGACATTAATGTTGCCAACCAATAGTCTATCTAAATGAACGACTTTCACTCAGCTTTTACTCTTAATATCGAAAATCACATTGTACTTTTTAACAAATAACATGCACTTATATTGGACCTTAAAAATCGCTAGGCAAATTAAGCAGAAGATATAAATTGTTAAGGATTCATACTTTTTAGTAAATTTATTAACTATGCACTGTGCTATGAATCAACTATTTCATCTTCACAAGGACTTAAGATGATAGATGCAATAGTTTTATCAGAATCTAATCAAATTCAAATGCTCTTATTGAAAGAAGAAGATATTGGAGCTTATTCCAATATCTATTTTGATTCTGATATTTCTAGAATTTGTTTCATGCAATCTGTTAACCATATCATCATTTTACCTTACCTTCACACTAACATCAATAAATTTATGGGAATGGGAGACCCAAAAGAATATCTATTTCATAAAGTAAAAGATCATAAAATGATGGCCTTAAGGTAAAATGGAGAATTAGTAACTTGGGATATCTGTAATGGAAAATATATAAGTTCATTTTTACTTCCTTAAAATGACTATACCAAATACTAATACTATACTATGAGCATGGATAGATTCATTTTAATGTCTAATGATGATATAACCGATTGTAATGATAACTGGTTCTTTAATGGTGTATAAATGGCTACAACATTTGAAGAACAAATTCCTGTAATTTAGGCTACTCCTCATAAATTCAAAAAGTTTTTGCTAGTTGATATAGAAGATTCAATGAATATTAATGTACTATTAGAATTCATATTCCCTTTGTTTTCATTCCAAAAAATGTTTATTAATAGTAGTAATGATAGAATGATAATCCAGCTTGAGTTCCAAAGAATCTTTATCTATAAGAGAGTAGATAACTTAGTCTATAATATTTAAGGTAATACATCATGGGAGCTAATAAGATAAATTACAGATTATCCATACTTTTTCGATAATCCTAAGACAGTTGGTAAACTAGAACCTTTTACTCATGATTTTCAATTATTTATTAATTACAGTAAAGAACAAAAACAGTTTCTTCTTAAATATACTGATACTGGCGAATAGCATTCAGTCATTCCTACAGATATTTTAACACTTATGCCTTTTGAATCTTCAATGGAACTTATGAATAGATTTAAATGGTTAGATACAGAGCGATTCATGTTTACAAATATTGAGGGATATGAGAAAATTGTGAGTATAAAAACATAATAAGTTCTAGCGTAAAATTATAGACCACTTTTTAATGATATTTCTGGTAAAGAATGGAAAGAATGGCCTTATTACAATCTTAGAGAAGACTTGAAAGTTGACATACTTTCAAGGCTGAAAAGAGTATACCAAGCATATAAATCCTTGTATTATTTGCATGAAGTAAGAGACAGTTAAGAATTTTATAGACATCTTCTTAGCGTTGATTAACAAAATTATGAATACTATGAGCACAGCTTTACTTTTTTACATTGGAGTTTAATGGATTAAATGGTAAAGAAAACGATTAAACTCAAGCAAATATAACCTGAAATGATAGAATTTATGATTTACAATATCTTGCCAGGAGGAAACACAATTCTTCATAAAATGTTTAAGTCCTAAAACAAAATTGCTAAAATTTTCAAGATCTGCCACGAATAAAACTAAATAAAGTACCATATTCCATTCTTGCAAAATTTCAATGGAAATTCACCTATTGATCTTAGCATAGATATAGGCTAAAACGATTTTAAGAGCATATTTTCAGTACTTCAATATTTAGGACTATATCCCATTGATCATCATTCAAGAGCAATAAAAGGATCACTTTATGTTATGATAGAATAGGAACTTCCTGAATTCTTAGATTATTTAGACACAAGATTCTAATAAACCTAGGCAATGTAAAAATTTGACAAGGGCTAAATTGAGACTGAGATTATTACCAGTAGCTTTTGCATGTAAGAGGCTTAAGTTCAATAGAAAATGCTCAAGGATGTAAGTTCTGAAGCTAAAATTCGTATTGAACTTCTTGATATACCTGGAGCTTATCATTATTTAGACCCAGACTTCATAAAAATATTCAAAGCATTATCATAAGCTGAATCATACAAGATATTCGAAAATAAAGCAATCATGTATTTAATTGATTTTAATTTCCCAGTTGTAAGGAATTTTCTACTCTTGCTCTTGATTATACCATTTACAATATTTCATGTTTCATTTGTAGTCTACATGAATGTTATATATGAGCGTAGATCAGAGAGCTAATTTTACGAAAATGCTAACTATGTTTTAGCAATCTATCATCTTATAATGTGTGCTTATTTCTTATTCAATGAGATGAGATAGATATATAACATTGGTCTCTAATATCTTTATTCAGTTTGGAATTATATCGATCTATTAACGCCTGCTGGTGTGGTTGTACTTCATTGCTTTTAATTTGCTGAATTTAAAGAAATGGAAGTAGATTAAGTCCTTAATAGATGTGTGCTAGCTATTGTTACATTCCTAATGTGGTTGAAATTTCTTTCAACTCTAAGAATATTTAAGAACACTGGATACTTGATAAGAATGATAGTTGAAGTTATTTATGATATGGGAATTTTCTTGTTTGTCTTACTAATAACTGTTGCTGCCTTTGGTGACTCATTCTTGAGAATATCTTGGGGAAATGAAGTAGAAAATTAGTTCACTCCATCTTTTGTCTATGCTATTCTCTTTGCCTATTCAATGATTCTAGGAGGATATGACACTGAAGCTTTTGGTGATGTTGCAGTTCCCCTTGTATGGGTATTTTGGGTTCTCTGCACCATTCTCGACATGATTGTGATGCTTAACTTACTTATAGCAATTATTTCAAGCACTTTTGATAGAGTAAATTAAAATTAAGAATAGGCAAGTTACTAAGAAATGGCATCACTTATTTCAGAAAATCATTATCTTATTCCAAAAAGAACAAGGCAAAAATATGCTGAGCAGAATGTTTATCTTCTTGTTGGATATGACTTAGAGAAAATGAAAGAGTTCAAGGATCCAATAGATTAAAAGTTTTAAGATATGAGAAATGAGATTCAGGAAATTAAAAAAACTTTGAGAGATGAAATTACCCAGCAAGAATTAAGAAATCAAAAGGCGATAGAAGTATAATAAGTGACAGAATAAAATTTAAACATAAAGTTAGGAGAGATTAAATTAATGATGTTTTCGTAATTGCCCTAAGAAAATGTAAAAATCAGAATGTATGCTAAAGAACTTACTAAAACTACTCTTTATCATTTGAGAGCAAAATACAAAAATGCTAAGTTTAGATGGACTTGCTACAGTGGTAATTTTAGTGGTTGCTTAAGCGGATATACTGTGAATGAATATAGATACAAGAAAGACGATTAAGTTTATCATTGTTAACCCTGCAGTTTCGATTTATGTGATAAATGCATTACTAAATACTCAGATGTTCATTAGCATCCGTTAGAACTCAATACTTTTGCTTAATTGAAAGTTAAAGCAAGGTATTCTGGTTGGGGTTGTGATGGGCGCTATCTAGTTTCATGTTCCCTTGAGAATAAATTTCATGATGATCCATTTGAGTATCTTTATATTGATTACGAAGCGAAGGTTATATTCTGTGAGATTTGCATTAAGAATCATAGGACTTGAAAGAACATTTTATCATCATTTTGCTTTTGATAATTGGCATTAATTTTTTAGTCTTGATTAACAATAGGGATTTTAAATACTAAAAGTTTAAATTTCATTGAATTTGAATAAATATCATCTATTTTATCAAACATTTTATATATGTTTTTGGGGTTTTGGGGTTTTGGGG